TGCTGTGTAAACAAAGATAAACACAGAATACCAAACACTGTGTGGTACCACTTACACAGAGCTATCAAATACAGAATGGGACAGAGGTTTTATTGGGGGGGGGTCAGGCAAGGAAAACATTTTACAAATGCCGGTGATGGCTGCACAGGATTACAAATGCAATGAATGGCAATGAATCACACTCTTAGAAATGATTGAAAGGGAGACTGTGGACAGGACATGGTGGCCAGGCACATGCCTGGCATGAGCCAGGCCCTGGGGTCAATCTCCAGCACCAAGACAATGAAAAACAAACAGAAGAGGCTCCAGAGGTTAAAGTTATACATTTACAGTTTTGGTTGTAAGCCTAGCCTTTACTGGCTGAGCCATCTCTTCTCCAACCCAAAGCTATACATTTGCGTTATATATTTTACCACATACATGCATGCCACATCCCCAAAAATGAAACAGAAAATTCAAATGACCAAACATAAAATCAAAACCCAAGTAAGAAAATTATATTAAAGTTACAAGCATAATGAGATTACTCAAAAACACGAAGAGTGAGTCTAAGACAAGGCATACATACTTCCTTGGTCTATGGGGGTGTCACCCAGTGTACAACACTTTCTTAGCCACAAGAAGCTCTAAGTTACAATTATGGCACCTCTTTTAAAAACAACAGTATCTGAGAGGAGTTGGGGGAAGAGAAAAATACAATCAAAATATACTGTATAAATATGATTTGTCTCAAACTCTCAGAGAATGCATAATTAATTGTCTTAGTTAGGGTTCCTATTGCTGTGGTGAAACACCATGGCAAATCAGGGAGGAAAAGGTTCACTTGGCTTGTGCTTCCACGTCGCTGTTCATCTTTGGGAAAAGTCAGGACAGGAACTCAAGCTGGGTAGGAACCTAGAGGCAGAAGCTGATGCAGAGGCCATGGAGGGTGCTGCTTACTGGCTTGCTCCTCTTGGTTCGCTCAGCCTGCTTTCTGACAGATTCCAGGACCACCAGCGCAAGGGTGGCACCACCCACAATGGACTGGGCCCTCCCCCATCAATCACTAATTAAGAGAATGCCCTATAGGCTTGCCTACAGCCTGATCTTATGGAAACATTTTCTTAATAAAGGCTCCCTCTGCTCTGATGACCATATCTTGTATCAAGTTGACACAAAACTAGCTAGCACAACAACAATTTTCATTGTTTGTTTTTTGTTTTGTTTTTGTTTTGTTTTGTTTTTGAGACAGGGCTTTTCTGTGCAACAGTCCTAGCTACCCTACTCACTCTGTAGACCAGGCTGGCCTCGAACTCACAGAGATCCGCCTTCCTCCACCTCCCGAGTGCTGGGATTAAAGGCGTGCGCCACCACTGCCCAACTAACATTATTTTTTAAACTTATTAAGTATATACTTGCTGGCATAAACTTCATAAAAACCTCTTGTGATAGGTGATACTATACCTCTTTTTAAGTTTAGTGATCCCCAGATAAGTGGTTAAGTATTTCGTCCAAGGTCACACAGCTAGGAAATACCAAATCCTAGATAATTATATCTAGGAAGCTGGGACTCCAGAAGTGACATCTTTAACAACGAAGCTGTGGCTAGTGGAAAATAGGAGGAGGAGGAGAAAATAGGAAAATAAGGCAAGAGATTGTGCAAGCAATTATAGGCTAAAGAAATGAGAGTGATAGGGGTCGATGAAGCCAACAAATTCTTATTTCAAAGTCAAACGCAAACTGTTGAATAAACAGTACAGAACATGACTGATCTTTAGGCTCATCCAAATCTCTTCTAGGGAAGCAATAAGGGAGAGAGTGCGGGGTCTGAGGCTACAAGATCCGATTTTAAATCCTGACTTGATTACTTATTTAGCTTAGTTCTCCATTCACAAGCATTTATTAACTCTGCAAGGCCCCTGGCAATGCGCCGCAGGTTGCCTTAAAGGTTGAATACCACTTCCTCTGCTCTAAAATGGGAATGACACATCTGCCTCAGAAGGTTGGTATGAAAGTCACAGACACAAGGTGTGACTGCTCCTGACTCCTGGTTGGCACTTAATAATCACTGATTGAAGACAGACTCTTGCCTAATTCCTCAGAACAAGAATTTTTGATAATGATTAAGATACATAAATCTTGGTGCCTGCCTTGTCAATAGAGGCATTGTGAGAGCCAGGCTGCAGACAGGAGGCGCAAACAGCTGCTTAGCTCCTGGTGCCCCTCCCTGTTTCCTACCCTCAAGCCAGGCAGATGGGACACCGAGAAGTCAGCTCTATTCAGTTCTTCCCAGAAGAGGAGGAGATAGAAAAGGGAGTGAAGAAAGAGGAGAGAGGGGGTTAAAAAATGTGGAGACAGAGACCAGAAGTCATCATCTTTTCCCTAGTCTCTCTCTCTCTCTCTCTCTCTCTCTCTCTCTCTCTCTCTCTCTCTCTCTCTCTCTCTCTCTCTCTCTCTCTCTCTCTCTCTCCCTTCCCCCCCCCCTCTCTCAGGGGAGGAGTGTGATCCAGGGTTCTCACCTTCCATTTTTCCCTACTAAGTCCCAGAGTGTCCCAACCAAAGATGATTTGGGGTAACAAAATTCATGCCCTCCCTTACACAATGGACCTTTTATTTTATAACACAGTCAAAAATTAATTAAGGAATTTCATTTCTAGGCTCCTCACTAGCTAAGATAACAGAGATTCACTGTTGATAACTCTCTAGGCTCCTCCTGACTAGTAAACTGCAGGAAGTCGATGGGCATATTTGGTATTGCCCAGGACCAATGAATACTTATCAAATCCTTTCCTTAGGCTTGAAACACACAGAAAGCTGGGAAATGAGACAATTACATTCTACATCCCACACAGACTGAAAGCATAGGGCACTACTTTACTTCATCCAAGTCCGTGACAGCACCAAGAGGCCCACTACTCAGCAATATATCCATAGCCGAGCCCCAGGAAAGAAAGGTCTGGAGTTCCACTCATCTGACAGAGGGGACAGAGATGATGCCATGCACTCCTAAGATCCCTACAGAGCAACATCAGGGCCAGATCAGTTACAAACACCGCATTCCAACTGATTCACCTGAACATCTCCGAACTTGACAGTGTGAATTAAGTGACATCCCAGCAAGGACTGCTAGTGAGGAAGTTTTGTGTCAATAGAAGAGGAATTGCACCAAGAGGAAAAGTACGCCAGGCAAGTCTCAACATGCCTACCTACCCACAACTTTGGTTCCCATAAGCACCTTCTCTTCCTGCCAAGCCATCTTCTACCTACCAGGCTGTCAGTGATTTGTGACTTTCCCCCAGCTCTGGGTGTTATGGAAGAGACTGTGTTGAACTCGTCGTTATTGGAACCAAGGGACACAAGAAACTGATCCCATTTTGGAGGTGGGGAGTTTTTATATTAGGCGCCCTTCCCCAAATCGAAGAACCAAGCCTCTTTTGTATCATGATCCTGGCTCTGCAAGCTGTGGTTTGAATGTAGAAACAAGAATAATACTACACAGTGATGACTAATGCATTGCAAGGAAGACAGAAAGTGTCTTCAATGGTTTCCAGGATCCTGCTTTTGAACTACAAATGGGAGTCAGGCAGAGGTCACGTCTGGGTCTGGTACTCCTCAGGACTGAAGACCCTTCCATGAGTAATATTCCCAGATCGTTCCTGTCTTTGCATGGCATGACTCCTTCTCTAGAGAGCTGGCAACTACTTGGCACAGAATATTGCCCTGCAGGGAAGAGAGAGAGCGGGGTTCCTCTGGAACCCTCTCCCATCACTTAAAATAAAAGATGTAGCCAGTCTCTGGAAGCTCCTTTCCTGCTGTGGTTGTAGATCATATCCTGAGAAGATACGATGAGTGCTCTGCAACACCATCTCCAGCACCTCGTACATTCTGCAGCCTTTAGCAGAGTTCCTAGCCTTTCGAGGATTGCATTTCTAGACCCATACCTATTGCTGCAGAGACAGTACCAAGTTCTTTACAACATTAAGCAGGAAGTTGAGCTTGTTCGGCCAAGTGGGAGACAGATTTCAGTGTAGAGGGCAGGAAGACCATTTCCTTGACGCCTCCTTCACCTGTTCCCACCACAGGGTACACATGCAGACATCTCAGTGGTACTCTGCACAATATAGGTGTGCCAAGGACTCAACAAAGGAAAATAAGGTGTGAAGAGAAGAGGCAGCTCATTGGTAGAGGGCTGGTGGGCGGGGCCTTACAAGAAGACAGAAAAGGGCAAAGAAATCTCAAGTGAATCACAGAGGTGTTGGAAATAGAACAGCAAACAACCAGGGCACCACAGGTTTCTAATTCCCACTCCATTAGGCTTGGAGTATCCCAACACAAAGTTCTTACCTACTCTCAAAAGCCCCGCGGGGCAGCAAGTGTATCTATGCAACCACAGCGCCATCTAGTGGAGTGGTGGAATTTTTTTTTCTTAAATGACCTAGTCAGAATCATTCAGGATCAATTCTATATTGAAAAGATTCCAGGCAATAAATCCAGGTGACAGAACGTGCTACCAATAAACACGTTCAGCATAAGTTCACAGGTTTTATGGGTCACTTCTTCTCAAAGCAAGGGCGAGGGACCTGCTGCCTGAATTCACCACTTCCTCTTACACCCTTCCCACTAGCCCAGCTCCCACTAAGACTTCCAGTGAACACAGTCATGCAACACGAGCATAGGCTCATCATATGTGTGCGGTATAAATACCTCAGATGTAATCATGAAGCGCGAATACTCATTTTCTGCTGCTCTTTGACACCCACAGTTTCCCCTATGAAACTCCCTAATAAGAAATCCAAGAGTGTAAATTTCTCTGTCGATATTAGGCCATGGGACGCAGCCAGTGTTATCAGCTCTTCGGTGTCCTTGGATACAAGTTCTGGGGAGCGAAAGTGCATACTATGTTTGACTTAGGCCTGAACTGGAATCTGGAACCGCTGGCCTGATATCTAATCTCTGCCTGTGTTGTTCCCGCGTGTAACATGGGAGCGGAGCCGCTGATGTCACAGGGCTGTTGTGGAGACGACTTGGGAACGGGTAGACTGACAGCTGGGAGATGCTGCACACTAATTCCTTTTCTGTTGCCCTCTGATTACATCTAGGAGAGAGGCAACGGGTCTCTGTCTCGGTGAAGCTGTCACAGGAAGACTTCCCGCTTCTAAACGAGAGAACAGAAAAGCCTTCCGAATTCCTGGTTCTCAAGCCACCCCAGCCCGAGCCAGTTTCTACTTGAAAGTCAACCAATTAATGAATGAAGGGTGAAGATGGAATTCTGCCAGCCACGATACCGGGTGAGTTCCTAACACATTTGACTTTAATTCATGTGTACTGTAATCCTGTGGGTAAAAGGACTGTAAACGTTGTTCTGCTTTTTCTTATACTTCAAAGGGAAGCAATTTAATGGCCATGAGTTATGGTCCCTCCATCACAGCGTAACTAAGAAACACAACTGTTTCTGGCAACCTGGCTCCTTCACCAAAAGAACTTCAAGGCAAGAATTTTAAACAAAATAACTTTTCTGGGTTCTTGGGCTTTCCTTGTGCAGGAGGAGACACTGCCCTTAGGAGCCCTGAGAACTGGAGTTCACACTGAAGGCTAAATAAGGTTAAGACCTGGTTGAGCTGGGGTTGAAGCAACCCATAAAATGTGGGGGTCACCCATAAGGTGCAGAGGAAGTAAACGCTGTTTCCCTGGGAGGTCGGTGCATACAGATACTTCCAGAGACAAAACAATGGAGATTGGAACATTTTCAATGGATAATATCCAAAGCAATGAAAAGGCCAGTCTTGTTGGGGTACAACTGCAGCCCCAGCATACAGGAGGCCAAGACAAGAGAATTCAGAGTGTGAGCCAGCTAGTCTGGGCCATATAGCAAAATTCTGCCTGGGGGGGGGTGTTATACAAATACAGACTCTTCCATTTTTTTTTCATCATTTGCTGTCCAACAGGGAAACCATAAAACACTCTCCTTGCAGGATACAAAGTACAGCTTTTCTTCCTGGGTGACAGAGCCACACTGGAACAGGAAGCGATGGCATATGGTGGAGCGATTTCATTATCATGACCTGGACTTCGGACTTGATTTGTGATCCTAATTTCTTAGCTCAATACCTGTCAAGTTTTAGACAACTTCCTTAAGCTCTGGTTTGCTCATCTACTTGGGGAAGAGCACTGCACCTCGACACAGGGCTGCCACGAAGAAAGACTGGACTCTGTGAGCACAGGAGATGAATACTGCCTTGGGGAGTTGCCGTCCTCAGACATGCTGAAAGCAACCAGTCATCTGGGCCAGGCTGGAGGACATGAGGAGGTGGAGCCAAAATGGCATTACAACAAAACAAAACAAAAGACCCTAATGATCAGTTCACTACTCAGTCTTCTCAAACAGAATCTGATGAAAACCACACAGGAGGAGGGCATTCGATGGATGCCAAGTTCTTCATACCTCCAGCCAGTTATCACTTGGTGTCACGGAAGAAAGACATAGTGCGTGCGTGGGCGTGTGTGCGTGCGTGCGTGTGTGTCCAGTGTCCAGGCAGAGTATTGGAGGAACCAGTAAGTGGTGAGAGATAGCTCAATAAATGGGCCACTGTGTATCTGCTCCCATCAAGGGGCAGCTGAGGCAGCCTCTGTTTTCCCAGATGGAAATCTTGGCTGAAAGGGAAGAGACCTGCCTTTCCCCATAAATTTAGAAAACATGTGCAGAAATTGGGCTGTGATACACAAGCCGTGTATAATTCTGATTACTCTCAAGGCTGTTTTAAAAAGGAATTGTGGGTACAGCTGAGTGGCAGAGTGTTGTGGAGCACACTGAAGGCCCTGGGTTCCATCCCCAGGATAGTAAAAACACAACAAATCAAGAGGAAGCTGGATTCAGTCAAGGGCTTTCCCATGTGCGAATCAAGCAACACTTCAGTAGCTGGCCGGTGCTGAACCCCCGACCTGTCACATAGCAGAACGCCTGTGTTTCGGCCCACAGGGCACACAGGTGGCACAGACAACAGAGGCGGCACGTCTGTGTCTCTAGGCACAGACAACAGAACTGTCCAGCTTTGACAACATCGCCAACACAATGAACACCCGGGGCGGAGCTATCGGTGATCAGACAAGATGAAGGGATGCAGAGCTCGAGCGAGATACAGGAGCGCTAGCTCTGTCTAGTTCAAAAGCAGAGAGATCTGCCAGTGGAGGAGGTCAGGGGTCACAGACGAGGTTCCTTCCTGAGCTCTCTCACTTGCCTTCCTGCTTTCATAGTTATACTCTGCTGAGAGGGACGCCCTCCAGGATTCAGCACCAAGGAAAGATGTGTTATTGCCCTGTATATTAAAGTGAGTGTTAGAGAGCTCCCAGCAATGCGGCTGGGCCTCCCCAACTCCCCTGCAACTCCCCTGCTCCCCTCTCCACCTTACGGGCTAGACCACATTTGTCCTGCTCGATCCATAAACAGTAAGAGCTTAAAGGGTCCAGGTTTGCTTCTGACTTGGCTTAGTGGGGGTCTCTGGGAGGCACTGCCTCTCCTGCCTGCTCAGGTATTTTTCTCAGTGGTTTCCGGAGCCCCATGTAGAGGGTGCTACATGAATGCCAACATGTGTGAATGCATGTTTTAGTGCATGTTCAAGGTGAATGCTGGAGTCGTAGCAATTCAGGACTGGGGGAGCAGTCACCTCTACAGCCTTCCCTCCCTCTCTCAGGCAGTACCTCAGGGCCCCAGGCTGCTTGTCTGAGTGTCACCTTGAGTGAATGACAATCATTTGTTTGCTGATCCAGTGCTCCTCTTTTGACCCACCCCTCAGGAAATTATAAACCACAGGGTTAATTCTATTGAGATCTGCTCCTTCCCAGGTGCCACATTCTGCACTAGAGTGAGAATCTGGTCCCTGAGACATAGAGACAAGGGTTGCTAGCAGTGTGACTTTGGGCAGGTCATTAAGTCTCCTGGTTTCCTACCTCTGGCCAAAAACCAAGGAAAACACAGTTACTGCGAAATGCCTGGCCCCATGCAGTCTACACACAGTGGATGTTGACTGTAAGTAATTCGACAAAACTCACAGAGAATCCACGGCAGTGAATAACCTTGAGCTGTTCAAGCAGCCCGTGTTCAAAGTGCTTTCACAGAGTCCTTCGCAATGAGCACACGCTCTGGGCGAAGTTATAAATACCCATGGGCTTCTGTAATGGGGCAAACACTAGCATGTAAAGGCTTACTGGTTTGTCTACGTTGCTTTTGATGCAGAACAGGCTGAAACTGGAGATCATAATTACTCCACAGTTAAAGTGCACTTTCCATTTCTGGGAAGAGTCTATGATCCCAATTTTAATGCATTTTAAAATAAACTATGAGATTTCACTTTTCTTTAAGTCATGGAAATATTTATGAGAGTATGTTTTTAATTGACACTCTAGTTATGCTGAAATGTGTTTATAAATACATATATAGATATATACACACACAGGGATAATAAAGCAACAATTCACACTTGTTTTCATGTAAAGTGGAAAGAATTTTAGATTTTAAATAGACTGCCCACTTCCAAAACTAAAGGTGAAAAGAGTCTTAGGTCTAGGTCTCAGTCTCTCAGACTAGGTTTTAGTCTTTTTTTTTCTATTTGTTTGTTTTGGTTTTTCAAGACAGGGTTTCTCTGTAGCTTTGGAACTCACCCTGGAACTTGCACTGTAGACCAGGCTGGGCACTGAGATCTGCCTACCTCTGCCTAAGTGCTGCAATTAAAGGCGTGTGCTACCAACTCTCAGCTAGGTTTTAGTTACTGTTTGTGCATAAAACATCTTCCAAATCATACATGCGAGTATGTATGTGAGTCTGTTACAAGGCCCTCTTGAGAACAGTAGTTAAGATCATGGCAAGGGAGATGAAAATTTAAGAAAGAGCAGTGGGAATGATGTGTTTGGCTGTCCTGAAATGTTTCAGTCCTTTTCCTGGGGTCCTGAGAATCAGATCTCAGAATCAACTTTTCTGACCACTAAGGCAACGATCATCCTGTGTAAGGAGAAGACAGGACTTTTAAAGTATGGCCTCTGTTCTTGTCCCCACGCCCTTCCCCAGCTCACTAGCAGGCTGCATAGCAGAAGTGTCTCCATTCAGAGAGGAGCTCTCAGATCTATCCCAGTGTGCTAAAAGAGCAGAAGAAGACTTTTGTCCCTAGGTGGAAACATCTGCCAGAGCCAGCAGCCAGATCAACATGTCCCTAAGAGCCCGGTGCTCTGTGTGCAAGGCACAGAGACTAAAATAAAGTCCATCAGCCATCTCTCCTCTTCATTTACTACTGAGCTGCTTTACTTAAAACAAGTGCTTGCAGGAGAAATCTGAGTGCATTTTTGGCAAGGAGTTAACCAAATTATCTTTGCCTATTCATAGAATAAATACAGGGATGGAGAAAATCCAAATAGGGAAGAGAAAAGAAGATGGGGGGGATTTCAGGTCTCATCTTAACATCTTAACATATTTCTTAATTTAAAGAAATGTGGACACACTCAAGGTTTAGAACAATTATTCTGAGATGTAGCTGCTAGACGGCATCAGACAGTAACTATGCATGTCCTTGGTGGGTATTTGTGTCATCCGCACAGATATTATGTGCTGAAGATTAAGCACTGTAGGGTCAAGAGGCTTAAGGGACAGTGATGACCCCCAAGAAGAGCTTGTTTGTCCTAGTTTATCTGTGAGTCCAAAATAAAAGATTAAAGAATGTCTCATTGGTAGGGCATAAGACATGCTGCTGTGGTCTGGACATGGCTTGCTCCCTAAAGGCTGGTGCCGGGATGTCATGGCATCTGAAGGGTGTGAGACCTTTAAGAGGTAGGCATAAGAGGGAAATGGCTATCACTGGCCTTCGGAAGGGATCCATGCTGGTCTTTCAGCATGGTTAGGTCTGGCAGGTGAGGATTAGATCTTTTCTAAATCAGTGAGCCTGGCCCTTGCCTGGCCCTCCTGCTTCCTCCCTCATGACCCTTTCCACTCATCTCCACTGGGTGAGCATACCTGTCAAGGGCCGTACTAGAAACCAGACAAAGGAGTTTTCTGCCTCCAAAACTCAGAGTAAGTATCCAGCCTCTAGTTCTCTGCTGTAACAGAAGTTAAACAGACAAAAGCACATGCTCCCAGGATCACAGGCCCAAAGAGGACTAGGGAAGCCATCTTCACCGGCTAGCCATGTGTTATCCAGGGACAGCAAAGTTAACTCTTCATCTGGGATAGCAGTCTGCACTGTTACACCACGACAGACTCACACACAATCACACCGTACAGAAAGTGAGGCCACATTTCTGAGCTGATATGCCCTGGGCCCCCATCTCCTTTTCTGACTCAGAAATGAAGCTTAGAAACCTGCCAGAGGCTAGGGATCAGGTGCAAGCATCTTCTCCCTTACAGCTATAACTTCACACTAATTCCGAATTTTCTTTCACTATTCTTCCTGAGCCTGAGCCTCTCTGAGATTAAAAGGGCTACCGTGGAAATCTGCAGGTGGTGTCAATCAGTGCAGCGGAGTGAAATCCGGCAGTGGGTTAGCAGGGTCTGAATGTGAACTTTAAAGGCTGAGGAGACTCAAATGCTTGCGATGCAAGGATGTGAACCTGAGTTCAGATCTCCACTGCTGAGGTGCAAAGGCGGGTGTGGCGGTATGCATCTTTATTCCAGCACTGGGGCAGCAGAGACAGGGTCCCTGGGACTCCCTGACTGGCCAGTCTAGTTGAATTAATAATGAGCGCCAGGTCCAGTGAGAGACCACATCCCAGAAACGACAGCAGAGAGAGATTGAAGAAGCCACCAGGCATCAACTTCTGATTTCTATGTATATGTTTAAACATGTGTGTACACATCACAATCCAGGGGACACATACAGAGAAAGAAAATGAGTTACTGAGCCAGCCCACGTGAGGAAGGGGAAGAATTCAAAGGATCAGGCAGGCCACTGTCTGTCTGGAGTGGGAAGCCTTACTCACCAAGGCTAGCACAGCCTCTGAGCATCAGGATGCTGGATAAGCTTTAAAAAACAACCACAGGGTCAGAGCTTGAACTCCAGCAGCACTCGGTGCTTCCATTGGCCCTGTGTTGTCTTCCCATCCAGGTATGTGGTTTCCAGTGGAATTAGTATAGCATGGTTATTCACAGAGAGGCTACACAGCCAGCATGGGGCACAGCGATTAAATGGATTTGATGCCTCAGAAGAATCACAGAAACCTGTGCACTCGCGTGTTATCTCTTAGGGTTTTTTCCAGCTGCTCCATCACCTTCGTCTCCCTCCCTCTACAAACTCAACACCAAACACAAGAGCTGCCTTCGTGTCCTTTTAGAAGTACTGTGCACCCAGAAGCACGGTACCTCCCGCGGCTGCACAGATTCCAACCACAAGCAGCAATTAAAATGACTGATACTGGCTCTCAGCTGCTTGCTGGATGACAGACCTAAGCCACTGATGCCAGTCCTGAACACTTCCCGAAGTTTCCATCTGTAATTATCAGCTGTATTTTGTTTCTGGGGAGAAAAGGCAAACGATATGGAGTGTCATGAGCACTGCACAGTGATGACGGGACCCGGTGCCTGTCTTCAACAGATTGTTTTTTTCCTGGACACTGTGAAGACTCACACTTGATAGCCCATTTATGCTAAATTTACAAAATGATAGACAGGGTTAGGATTTCTTAGCAGAGATGTTGACTCCCGGTGTTTGTCCCCATGTTTGTATAACAGAACTTGAAGCAATTATCTGATTTAAACAAGAGGTGGTGCTGTAAATTCTCCATCTGTCCAGCCACACCACCTCCCTTCCCCAGCCCCCACCCTCACGAGAAACCTCTGTACTTCACCTCCTGGGGACATTAAGAGTTCCTGTAATCACCTCTATCAAAGCATGTGCATGCATGCGTCCCTGTGAGATAAAAGCAAGCAGGGAAATGTTCAGTGTGTGTCACCGCAGTTTTGCCAGTGGCCACCCTCTTGGTCCCCACAGTCCTCCTCCCACAATCATCTACACCTAGGCAAGAGCTACTTCCCCTAAGGAATACCACAGAAGGCAAAACACAGAAGGAAAATGGATCAAGGAAAACCACACACTTCTTACCTTCAACAATCACATTTGTGTCTGTCACCTGCCCACCACCCCGATGTTCATGCAAGAGGAGCAGACGGACGGTACAGGACCCTGGAGCACGTTTTAGGCGCATGGTTCACAAAGTACTGGGCAGGTGGCTCTGGAGAGATGGTTCAGCCGTTAAGAGCACTGGCTGCTCTCCCAGAGGACTGACCCTGATTCTCAACACTCCCACTGGGACTCAAACAACTGTAACTCCAGTTCCAGGGAATCCAATGCCCTCTTCTGCCCCCACAGGCACCAGGCAAGCATGTGGTGAACATGTATTCACATGTGCAAACCATCCATGCACATAAAATAGACGTTAAAAAATTTCAACTATTTTTTCCAGTACATACTATTTTCACTCTTCTATACCAAAACAGCATGCTTAATATCTGAAAGGAATGAATAGGTACAGGAATTACATTTCCACAAGGAAAACACAGAATCCAAGACTGTTTTTCAAATGTGCCAAGAAGACAGATTACATTTCATAGGCTTTTTGTATGTGCATTAAATACCACAAACCTGCCATGTTAAGTATCTCCCATTCAAGACTTACAGCTCATTTTTTAAATTCACATGCATAATTGCATTATGTAGCAGCAGGTACTGTATGATTTCTGGGCTGTAATGTAACAGTTATTGGTTTGATAGACTACATTTGTTTAATTTTGAATTTGTGGGCCTTTTAGAAAAAAAATTAGGGCAATTTAACAATACAAGCCTGGCCAGCACAGCACGGATGAAATCAAACTGGCGGATGGGCCAATCATAAGCCTAAAGGGATGCGTCAGGTATGAGGCCGTCTGGCGCATGCATCTGGAGAGGTACTCGACATTGCACTTGTATAATAGCAGCTGAGCAGGATGAGGAAAATTACACCGTAAGTCCCAGGCCACACCACAGAGGGACCGTGTGCTTTTCCGGCACGGCCTGTGTCCCCATTATAACAGCAAACGCTCATATTCTTGCTTTCTGAGAAAGAAGACTGAAAGCTGGACAATTTTACCCAAGAGGCCTTTCTTGGTATACAGATCACTAAAGACCCTTATTAACACATTTAAAAAGAATAAACAGAAGATAAAGAGAAAATACAGAGAGAGAAAAATCAAAATTGTTGCTGGGCATTTCAAAGCAGGGGAGAAGCCATTTCATTAGCAGGTTTGTGCCATGAGAAGGAATGTAATCTAGTCTCAGCAAGGAACAGCAGCGTGTGAACCAGGCACATCCTGGTGAGCAGGCATATAGGCTTCCTCCTACAAGTTCACCCTTGAGCTGTCTGGAGGAAATGGTACTGAATGGATGAGTATGAACTCTGAACTAAGAGTCATGTGGACCCCACCACATACTAACATTTTTGCCCCACTCACCATATTAAACTCTTAAACCCTAGTTTCCCAAAGGGATGGAAGATAATGGAAGTCCTCTCTAAAGCTACCATGCATACATTAATAAAGGATTGTGTCCGTAGTAGATGTAATAATTGTTGCCAGTTGCATGGACTTCTTCTCATGTCCCACTAAAGTAATCATGACAACATGGAATCCAGCCACAGTCCTGCCTGCTTGAGAGAATACCCAGTTCCAGTAACCTGAGGGAAACCCTTAAGTCCAGCACTGATGAGAACGTGTCCCCCTGGAACACTCCTTATTCTCAAATTTAATCATAGTTAAATACATACCATAAAAATGGACATTCTAACCATTCTAAGAGGACATCAAGTGCATTCACAGTGCCACTCCGTACAGCCCATCCAGCTCTAAAAACATCCCATCTTGTAAGAGTGAAACACAGCACTCAACCTTTCTGTGTTTACAAGCTTGATAATTCTAGGCATCTCTCATTTACCATCCCTTGATGGCTGACTTATTTCATTCAGTGTAATGTCTTCAGATTCATCTATGCTCTTGTATGCATCTGAATTTCTCTGCTGAAAATGGAATTCCATTGTATTACCTGTTGATAGACATACAGGTTGCTTCCACTATTTGGCTAGCTGTGACTAATTCTGCTATGGACATAGGTGAACAATATGTTTGAGCCTTCTTTCAAGCCTTTTGGACATCTCCCCAGATATAGAATTGCTGGGTCATGCAGACCTATTTTTAAATTTTCAGGAACTGGACTGCACTTTGAAGTTAAGATCTGGAGCCCCGAGGAACCATTTCTG